CGCCTGCCCCAAAGGCGGCCACGCTGGCTGACTCGCTGGCTGGCTGGGATGAGAGGCGTCACAGTGCCTCCCCCCCAACCCCTCCCAGCCCCAAACACAGGCAGCCTGTTCAGGAAGGCCTGGCAAGGGGGAGGAAAAGTCAGCACTTGTCAGTGGTGGCTGGGCAGGATGAGGAGCCCGTCCTAGCCTGCTGTGGCCAGCCAGATGGACAGAGGGCAGCAAGGGACAAGAGAGTGGTCCCCAGCCAGCCGACATGGGTCAGCGAGAGGTGCCAGCATGGGTCCCAGGAGTAGAACCTGGAGAAGGGGTGCAGGAAGGCCAGAAGGTCACAAGGGCATCTCCTGAGAGCCAAGTATTTCTTTTTCACTTTGCCGGAGCCATTCACGTTCTTGCTTAACACCACGGCGCAGCTGCCCCCTGCCCAGTTAGAAGGGCCGGCCACATCCCAGCCTCAGTGCCACAATTGTCTCGATGGGCACGTTCACCACTGAATCAACTCCCTTTGTAGATGCCTGCTTCATGCAGCAAAGGTTACAATCCAGGGTGCTGGAGACATGATGTGATGGCTGGTGCCCTGCCATCCGTGTTTCCTTTGCTCTGAGACTGCTGCGTTGGTGTAAAGCGAGCCTTAGCCCCACTCCTGGCCCTCTCCTTCTAACCATTCTCTAGGCCTCGGTATCCCCTTTTGTAAAAAAGGTGTGTCGTAGAAGATGAGGTTGATATGAGTGGCATCAGACAAAGAAGTCTTGTGGAACAGGAACATCCATGGCGAACACCAAATAGAGCTGCCTTCTTCAGGGGCAGGCAAGGAAGCAAAGCACGCTGTCCCTTAGGGGACCAGGCTGACCCTGAGAAACGAGTGGCTGATGTGACCCAAGAGCATCCTGCTAATAAAATATTCTGTCATAGAAGCCGCTTGCACAGATGCAGAAGCGTCGGAACTGGAAAAGGCACTCCTTCATCTCTTCCAGTTTTGTCTGAAGGGGTAGAATCCTGACATGTCTGAGATCACAGCCACAAACCTGTAGAATCTGGCAGGGAGGGGAGGAAGTGAAGAGGAGGGGCCCTCAGTGGGACGCCGGTGTGGACCACGCTGTCTCCGCCATCACCACAGCCACCAGCCTTGACAAAGCAGCTTACTGCCTTCCCACGCAGCCTGCTACCTCCTACTTCACCATCCTTGTTGGGTGTCCCCCGGAGCTGAACAGAAAGAAACAGGGCAGCTCAGGCAGGCAGTGCTGGTGTCCACCTCAGGCAGCAGAGGGCTGGAAGATCATGTGATTGACACCCCACCTGAGCTTCTGAACTGGGGGATGACAAAGTGTGCCTGGTCTCCTGACGGCACACCCTCTACGACCCAGTCAACAAGGTCTGGGGTTTGTAAGTAACGTGCGAGTTTCAGCTCCTGTCTGCCTATACCTCGCCTGGAACTCACACACCCGTCTCTGTGTTTGCAGCCTGCCCTCCCAGCTCAGGGCCGAGGTTGTATCACATCAGCCCCTGCAGGTTCACACGCTCTAAACATTCTTGTGTGTGCATGGGAAAGCACCATGGTGTGCTGCTGGGGAGCGGTGAGGGGGGGGGGTCACTGTGGTAAATGAATCAGAGAGACTGTCAGCCCCAATCCATACAGTGGAAGACAGTGTTCAGGACAGCTGGTGAGTCTGGACGAAGTGACGTTGACCCCATTCCGAGTTCCACAGTCTCGCCTCTGAGACCCAAGGTATACAAAAAGATGCCGGTCTGAGTTCTTCATAGCCTGGAGCTTTGCCAAGAAGACGGCACTCTCTCGTAAAGAGGGAGGAGGTGAGGGCTTGGGGAGGGGAAAGGGAGCAGCAGACAGCGCTAACGTCTGGCTGGTCAGAGTTGTCAGCAGTTTTCCCTTTATCCCTCTTCGACCAGGATAAGGACTGGTAATCTTACCTACCTCCACACCCGAACTTGGGGGTCTGGCTGTGACCTTGAGTGGTGCGGTTTCCCGGGCTTCCGGGCACGCCTCATCCAGCACTGCATTGTCCAGTTCCTGGCCCTGGGTTCTCTCCAGGCTCCCGCAACCCATCCTCCTGCTGTGGACCCCTGGAGAAAAGGGGGTTGGGGGTGGGATGGGAGTGGTGGGTTAGTCCTGTCATAGCGCAGCCTGCCCTGCCCAGCCTTTTGATGCAGTAGTTTATTTCAATCCATAACTGTTACTATGATTTTACAGGACTTAGAAAGCACAGGCCTTAAGCATTGTTGCTAGAGACAGTAGTCAGTGTCAGAGGTGGGATCTGGCTCTGGGGTTCGTGGGGAATCCCTGACAGTCGGCAGAAAGAAAGTAGGGGTGTCTGGGCTTTCCAGATGAGCTGTGTTCTGAGGCTGGCAAGGAGGAAGCCCTGGGCAAAGGACTGCCTCTTCCCCTTGGAGAAGTACTTTGCTCCCTGTGAGCCACATGGCAGCTCTGATTTGTTTATTTAATGTATTTGAGTGCTCTATCAGCATGGATAGCTGCAGGCCACAAGAGGGATGATCGCATTATAGATGGTTGTGAGCCACCATGTAGTTGCTGGGAATTGAACTCAGGACCTCTGGAAGAGCAGATAATGTTCTTAACCTCTAAGCCACCTCTCCAGCTCGGCATCTCTGTCTTGACTGGCATGACAGAGAAGTAGGTCTTCATGCCCAGGGAGGTCAGAGGCAAGGCCATTGTCCTTGGAAATATAGGAAGGCTAGAAGCATATGGCCTCCCCCATCCAGGAGACAAGAGCCTGGAAAAGGGTGCAGGTGGAATCTTAGCCACCATCCCAGGCCGCTGAGTGGGCATGTTGGCCAGTCTCTGGCTGTCAGCTGGGCAGTTTTTGACCCATGACTGCTGACCTCTAATCTAGGCCATCAGCTTAGTCTCCCTGCTCACATCAGAGGCTAGGCAGGCCATTAGGAAGCCAACGCATCAGCCAGTCCCTCAGGAGCACTTCACAAACTGGGAGGATTACGGTGAATTATGTGTCTTGGGAGGGGTGGAGGTGGGCAGAAGGAAGGGGTCATGGAAGAAGGGGCATGGGAGGGAGAAATGACAGGATGATAGTATGGATGGTGGTAATGTGGGCGATGGTGCTGATGATGACCTAGGCAGATGGTGGCGGCAGCCGTTCTGGAGATGGTGTGATGGCCCTCGTCGGAGTAGTGATGTTAATGTTTCTGGCCCAGTTATGGCAGTGCTCCTGGTGGTGATGTATCGTTGGGAGGGTGGTAATTGATGGAGATACCAACTGCAATGACAGAATGAATAGCAGGGAGTAGACGCTGGGATGGTGAGGTAGGTAAGAATCAGACCCTTTAGTAGCCGGGGCCCCAGCGTCAGGCATAAGGAGAGCTCCAGGGCGAGTTTGGAGGCCCCTGGATCTTAGCAAGCCAGTTTGTCCTCCCTGATCTTTATCACCCTGCCCCAGCCAGCTCTGCCATGGGTGTGATCAGAACAGTGGGAAGTTAGAGCTGTGAAGCCCCAGCACGTGGGAATCCGCTTCAGCCTTCCTGGGACCACTAGGCGTTAGGGTGAGCTGAGGCAGCAGACATAGGCATGCATGCTAGAGCAGTTCTCCAGCACTCCCAGAAGCCCACCAACAGTCCTTCGCCCACAAACATGTACACGCGCATCTTCACAAACACATCAGCCTCCGGGGCAATTCACACGTCAGGCAGTTCCTTCGTGAGGACTTAACGGAACCGGGGGCACACAGAAGTTCACACACTGGCCAGACAGCGTGTGTGCGCAGCTAGTCACACGCACGCGCAGAGATGCTCCTCCGCTAAGTAAAAGCAGCAAAACTTGAGCTCGGCAGAGCCAATTGGAGACTCCTTGGCCTGGAAGCGCGAGCTGCTGCCGCCAAGAGACGCGGTCAATTAACTTCTCCCTGCAGCCGGGCTCCCTGACCCGGGCCGCCCGCCCCCTCCCGCCGCCCCGCCCCTACCCTGACCCGCCTCCTTCCTTCCAGGCCTCCAAGTTCTCGGCTCCACCCTTACTAAAGGGACCCGCCTACATGGCCAGGCATGGGGAAGGCAGCGCTGCCTATTCAAGGAGATCAGGCTGTGTTCTCTGGAGCTTAAGGGAGAGGTAGCCTTTTTAGCGGAGTCCCGGGGACCGTGAGGCTTGGCTAGGACTGCCCTGGGCTGTCCCAAAGCATCACACCCTATTCCGGGGTGTGATCCCTTCGGGTTCATACTCAGGGTGGGGATGGGACTGCTGTCAGGCAAGATGCTGGCCCCAGCTTTCGGAGAAACTCCCGTTATCCTCACACTGTCCCCTTTTCCTGGGTTAAAATTGCTGCTGCTGGGTGCCAGTGGGAAAACAGAGTGGAAAGAGGAGAATGAGGACATTCTCAGGGCGGTCAGTAGAAGCAAAGGCCGTGCCGGGTCACACGTTTCCTCCACAGCATCTGTCGGGGTGCGTGGGTCCTGCACAGCCCAGCGGTTCTTCGCCCTCTCCCTCTTCGCGGCCCTGAGCAGGAAGGGTGAGGCTCTAACCCCTTACTGGGAAAGCACTCACTGAATGCTGGGGCCAGGATGGAAAATGGTGACTGCCATGGTCCCCGGGGGGCCTTGGGACTTGAAGGAATTCAGGCTGGGTTCGTCTCCTCAGAGTTCAATCCTCCTGATCCAACCCCAGGTCCCCAGCAGGCAGCCAGTATCCTGTGAGGCTCCATCCTGGGACATTCCATCCTTTCCCATGTGCCGCAGGGGGGATGGACTAGAAAAAGAATGTCAGTGGATGCCGGGTTACTGGTGGACAGACGGGGGACAGCCCCCACTCCTTCCTCCTCCCTGCAAGGGCCAGGCCCTAGCCGTTGTGTTGCCATGGCTCAGAACTTTGAAAGGGAGCTCTGTCAGGCAGACGCTCCCCTGTGGTAGACTTCCCGCCCCAGGGCTAACCTCTGGAAAGGGGGAAATCCCTGGGGAGGTTGGATGACTTTGGGGACCAGCTGCCCCACCTGGAAGTGCTGCCTACATTCTGACCTTTGACTTGGCAGGTGGACGCGGATGATGTCTTTACCAAAGAGGAACAGATTTTCCTGCTGCACCGTGCCCAGGCCCAGTGTGACAAGCTGCTCAAGGAAATTCTGCACACAGCAGGTGGGGGTGGGGAGATGAGGTGGGCATGAGGTCAGCATGTGATAAGCAGTGGGGGGGGGGGGGGGAAGCAGGGACAGGTGGGGGCAGGGATTGAAAATGTTAACCTAGGAACCTAAGGTGTGCTCAACAAAGGGAGACCCAGCCAAAGTAAAGGCCTAAAATGAGAAGGATCAGACAAGGGTGAAATCAGCAGGCTCAGTGGTCCTTAGCTTCCTGGATTCAGGAAGGTGCTGTCTGCCCACCGCCAGCTCTCAGACCCAGACATGGCCGTGTGTGTGTGTGTGTGTGTGTGTGTGTGTGTGTGTGTGTGTGTGTCAGACAGACAGACACAGAGGAGCCTTTGGACAGTTTGGCTAATAGATATGGGGTCTCCCCTTTGCAGACGGAGATGTAAAGGCAGACAAAGCACATAGTCCCAGTGGATTTAGACAGGGTAAGGCAAGCCAGGAGCTTTGATGAGGGTGTTGGGCCCTTATAGGGTGGGCCAGGCCAACTGCATTAGAGAAAAGATAACCAAGCCATGTCTAGAAAGATGAGGAGGTCTTTAAAATGATGGGGAGCTCTGAGAACTCTAGGATAGGACTAGAGTCCCTGGAACTAGGTGGGGTAGGTGGGGAAGGGGTGTGGCTGTGTGACCCAGCCTAAGGCCTGGAGAGAAGGTGTTTGGCCTGCGCAGGGAGGGTCTCTCACGGCAGCTCTAAGGACCTTTGCCACAGGGAAGGAAGGTAGCTCCCATCTAATCTCACAATTCTGACCCCTCTCTGTCCCCTCCCTCGAGTCCACTCTCTGGAAGCAGGTATGGGCTACCCCAGCATTCATCCAGGCTTCTGAGGGTCAGGCTGACCTCATCAGCACAGGAGGCCAGACCCTGGCTTACTGTCCCAAAGCAGCTTTTTCTCTCTGGAGCTGGCTCTCAGGCTACTGGGGGACAGCAGCAGCGCACACAAGCAGATGGTGACAGATTCTCTATGAAGCGAGTGGACTTTGCTCACATCCCTAAAGACATACTCTGCATACAGGGTCCCACCTATCCTGGCCCAACCTGAGGCTGCCAATCACAGCCAGGCAGTGTTGTAAATAAAAAAGAAATGAGTGTTGGGCTATATGGTATTTGCCCTATGATTGTCATGCTGGTATTATCTAACCCACTATCACGAGTAATAAGACACAGACACCTGTTTGATTTTTATAATTGCCTTATTTACCTTGGGCCAGGCAGATATTCCTACCTACTCTGTCTGAAACACCTCACCATCCATCTCCCAGCCCCCATCCAATGCCATCCTCCTTAACCATCCTATTTTCCATCCATAATCTTATAAATACTTGCTTTTATTCTTCATCTGGGCCTTTTCACGCCGTTATTGGAGTCCTTCCTCCCAGCCCCATGTGGTTTCTTTTCCAGGCTAACCATTCATTGCATCCTCCTTCTCTTCCCATCTGCCTGTTTCCCATGATCCTCTCTGTCCTCCAAAGTCCAGAGAACCTTAGCCTACCCCATTCTGCCCTGCCCAGGTATAGGCTGTTTAATTATATATGTCTTAGGCAGGTTTACAAAACAAAGGTAGGTGTAACCAGATCTTAAGGGCTAGTAGCACACATCAGACCAACCTCTGACAAGTAGGAACAGATGAGCCCCTTCATTCGGTCCTAAACCTAAACCTGGCTCTCTTCCTAGTTGTGTAGCCCATGCTTTGTGTACCTCTCTGACCCCTTCTCATCCATTATGGAATCCCCCCCTGAGGGTGAAGGCAGGAAAATACTGACAGTCATTCTCATCCCAGTCCTGAGTGCCTGGACTCAGCTTACCACAGGGCCCGATGTAGGCAGGCCAAGTACCCTGACTTGGGCCATAGCTGAAGTCACACAGTCAGATAGTGAGAAGGACTGAGGCCCCCAGTGTCTTTTCAAGGCAGAAAGGCCAGGAGCCAGCTCAGGTGGTGTCTTGGAGGGCACTCGTAGAGGCTGCAAACCCTGACCAGAGTGTCCTAGGACAGAGGGGCAGGTGGGCGCATCTGTCCACTCCTAACACTGTGCACCCTTTGTAACTAGCCTCTTCACCTGCACAGCCTGAGACCATTACCTTGCCACCCATCTCTGCCAGTTTTTGCCATGCGCCCTCTGGTGGGCCATTCACTTCTTCATGGTTTCAGCTCCTGGGTTGCCAGTCTTTCCGCTTCACTCTAGCTGGCCCCAGACCCATGTCATTCACCCCCTTTGAACCTCTGCTGATACCTGGCAAACACGCTACAGTTTCTGAGTCACTTCCTTGTCCTTCATCTCTGGTGTCCCAACAGCCTGAGTATCAGCATCCGTGGTAGGGTCAACTCACTAAAAAGGGGGAGTGGTGATAAGCCAGGGCTGAGGTTATAGCACAGCTGATGGCTGGAACTGTCCTGATTTCTCCAGCCAACATAATGGAATCAGACAAGGGCTGGACACCAGCATCTACGTCAGGAAAGCCCAGGAAAGAGAAGGCATCGGGAAAGTTCTACCCTGAGTCTAAAGAGAACAAGGAGTTGCCCACTGGCAGCAGACGCCGAGGTATGTCTGTCCACCCTGCCTCCCACACCTCCCTAAGCAGTCATTTATCCAGGCTCCGATCCACCTGTCCCCACCATGTCCTAGTCATGTGAGTTCCTATGGAAAGTCAGAGACTACAGCTCCCTTCCCAGAAAAGCAGGCCAGCAGACAGGCCAAGAGGCAGCATGAGGGGCGGTGGTGGGGAGAGGAGGGTTGTGAAGGGGGGAGATGAATTGTGTGGCCTTGGGACACAAGGAGATGTGCACAGTAGACTTGCCTAGCACTGCCCAGAAGAGGAACCAGAGCTACAGGAAACCCATGACCCACTGAGGTAGATAGGACAGTAGGGGAGAGATGCAGAGAGTCAGAGAGGGAACAAAACGCTCAAACCAAAAGTCTGGTTTGTCAAAGGAGGCACAGAAAGACACACAGTGGGAAGAGCCACAGAAATAGCATGAGAGTAGGGCAGCCTCAGAGGGGTGGAGACAGACAGTGGGACAAGGAGAGAAGAGGAGAGTGGGAGAAACAGAGTTGCCTCAGGGAGGTGAGGAGAGACAAACACAGCCCAAGCTGTGGCCACAAGGCCAGTTAGAGCCAGCAGGGTGGGCAGCAGATTCCAGATGGGGCCACATCTGGGAGCCTGTGGTCACCCTGTGGCTCCCCAGGGACCAGAGGGAATTGTGGGCCTGGCCGGGTGGGGCTGGGAATATGGCGCCCAGGACAGAGAGCCTTTCACCAAGCTGGGTGGGTCCAGCCCTCAAGGCTGCCTTCCAGGGAGGTTAGAGAGTCCTGTGGTCAGTCCTGCAGCAGGGTAGAAGGGGGCCGTAAGCTGGGACGGAATGTGGGCGAACTAGAGGCTTGGGGACCCTCTGAGGTCACTTAGTGTGGCTATCAGGGCTCCAAAGTGAGAGCCTTGTTCTTTCAAACTGGACATTAGCACTTGGATTTGGAGGGTGGCATGCCTCTTGAGTGGTTGGTGGTGGGTCTTCCATGCAGTCCTAGATGGGAGAACTCTAGGCTGATCAGTCAACTTCCCAAAGAGGAAATGGGAACGCAGAGAGCAGGACACCTGTGTGAGGTTAGCAGTGCTTTGGAAGTCCAGCTGGCACCGAGAGCCAGACTTCCTTCTGTGGTCTCCAGGGAAGGGTCACATAGGGAGCCTCCCAGCTGAGGAAAGATCTGAGAAAACATTCGAGCTGGTTGTAGAGGCATACACCTTGAACCCCAGAATTCTGGGGGAAGGTGCAGAGGAATCCTGTGAGTTCAAGGCCAGCCTGGTCTGTCTACGGAGTGAAAGAATATCTCATTTTGTTTTTTAATCCTTAGAAAGGTGGGACCAAGAGCAGAGAGAGAAAAGGCCCAGCTAAGCCCTTCCACCACAGTAGCTTAAGTAAATTCTCTCAAGCCAGTTCGTTTAGGGAGCCAGAGGAAGTAAGAGCTCAATATAGTCTTTCCAGAATGCTCTGAACCTGGATTTTCTGGTCACAGGGCACACCACCCCCGTGGGAATCAAACCACAAGTGTGTCCATGTCCCCGGGCCTAGCTATGGATCTGACTCTCCTCCCTTATCCTCTACGCTGCGTTTTCTTTGGGCACAGGCCGTCCCTGCCTGCCGGAGTGGGACAACATCGTTTGCTGGCCACTAGGGGCACCAGGGGAAGTGGTGGCAGTCCCTTGTCCCGACTACATTTATGACTTCAATCACAAAGGTGAGGCTAGCCGAATGGGCTGGGAACCACGGGGACACCATGAAGTGGAGTTCGGGGCCTCAGTGGCTCGGGACCTCCTTTGCCCTCCCTGACTGTCCCACGGCCCCACAGGCCATGCCTACAGACGCTGTGACCGCAATGGCAGCTGGGAGGTGGTTCCCGGACACAACCGGACATGGGCCAACTACAGCGAGTGCCTCAAGTTCATGACGAATGAGACTCGAGAACGGGTGTGAACCTTCTCCCTCCCAGGCTTGACCCCCAAGACCACACGTACCCAGCCTTTACTTCTCCAGCAACCTTAACTTGTCCACTCTGCCCTTGGTGCCCACCCTGAGTCCCAGTTTTCTGTCTCTCACCTGCGCAGGAGGTGTTTGACCGCCTAGGCATGATCTACACCGTGGGATACTCCATGTCCCTTGCCTCCCTCACAGTGGCTGTGCTCATCCTAGCCTATTTTAGGTGGGCGGGGCAAGGGGCGGGTCGGGTCGGGGGCAGGGCAAAGCCGGCGAGGTGTGGGGCATAGCCTAGGGTGGGGCCGGAGGGGTCCAGGATGCGAGCTTCCCTTTTCCCCCTTCACTCCATCCATCCCCCCCTGCGTGATGTCCCCACCTACGGCGCACAGCCCAGCTTCCTGCCCACCGCTGCGCTCCCCTCACCCGCGGTGATGTTGCACGCCCGCAGGCGCCTGCACTGCACGCGCAACTATATCCACATGCACATGTTCCTGTCGTTTATGCTGCGCGCCGCGAGCATCTTCGTCAAGGACGCGGTGCTCTACTCTGGCTTCACGCTGGACGAGGCCGAGCGCCTCACGGAGGAAGAGTTGCATATCATCACGCAGGTGCCGCCTCCGCCCGCCGCGGCCGCCGTAGGCTACGTGAGTGCCCCCTGCCGCCCGCCTGCAGGCTCCGCCCCTCGCACCCACCTCCCCGGCCCTCGCCCTGCCCACCGCTTGCTATCTCCTCCAGCTGCAGGCCAGCAAATCCGTCTCACAGGGACCAGTTTTAACTGCTAACAGCTCAGTGGTCGCCACAGTGGAGCGTCCCAACCTCTCCTCCTCACCACCTTGCCTCCTGCTGCTTACACCCCACCCCCACACCAGGTCCCAACGCAGCTTACTGCACCAATCCCAGCCCAGTAGCCCAGAGTAAGCTCTCCCTTCTCCCCCTAATGCAGGCCTATAGGATGAAGGCTCTGCCTTTTGCCTAACTGTAGTTGGTCTCCTAGGCTGGATGCCGTGTGGCCGTGACCTTCTTCCTTTACTTTCTGGCCACCAACTACTACTGGATTCTGGTGGAGGGGCTGTACTTGCACAGCCTCATCTTCATGGCCTTTTTCTCAGAGAAGAAGTACCTGTGGGGCTTCACCATCTTTGGCTGGGGTACGGAGACCAGTGTGGTGGGGAGGGTGAAGGCAAGCCCGAGAGTCAGGCGCTCTGGCTCTAGGTGTCCTGCCCCTCTTGTTTTTAGCAGGCTGGAGGCCTGCCCACCCTGATGTGACCTTGACCCCACTCCAGGTTTAGGACACTCAACTTGGCTATGGGCAGGGCTCACCCAGAACTGTTGGCTTGACCTGGCATTTCAACTCACTTAGGGTGATAATTACTGAGGTTGAGATGAGGTTAAGCTTGGGACCAGAGGGAGATCTTCAGTCACTAGTTAGCCTGGGCTGGAGGGTGGCAGTCAGGACCCTCCTTCTACCCAGAGTCCTGTGGGAGGGGCTCACATCTGTTACCAGGAGGTGAGTTCCAGAGCCACAGGCCCAGCAGCTCCTACCATTTAGCTTCTGCAGTGGATTCTTGGGAAGCTGCAATCCTACCAGCCCCCTCGGGCCCTGGGATCTAGTTACTGATAATTGTCCATTATTGCTGGCAGCTCCAGAGCTTGGCTGGGTCCTGGGGAAAGCTGCCAGAATGTGGAGGGGTGGGCCAAGTGGCTAGGCTCCTGGGCTCAGCACCTAGAAAGCTCTGGTCTCCACAGCCTCCTTGGCTCTTGGCACATGAACTACCCCTGACCTCACCATGGAAGTCCCAGAATCAGGCAGATCTGGGCCTGAATCCAGGAACTAACACAAGCTCCTGGGCTAGTGGGTGGTGTCTGGGTGGGCTGGAAACATGGGGATTAGGGAGTACACAGAACCTTATGATCTGGGAATGTCACACCCTTACCACAAACCCAGGTGACATCTTTCCCTCCAAGGATCCTCCAGGCTGGGATAAAGCAGGGAGACTACCATGTGTCAGGACCCTGAGGTTCGCCTGTGACCTCTGCCCAGCCCGGGATGACGAACGTCACTCTATCTACCCTCATCCATGAGAGCTAGGACCTTTCAAGCCAGGTGTGGAAAGGGAGTTTTAGAACAGAAAAATACTAGTCACTGGCTCTCACCCAGCTGTTGATACCACGGTATTTTGGCACTTACCCAGTAGGCATGCACAGGTACTCACAGGATGCAAGGAATTGAAACAGGGCAGAGAGCTGCACTGAGTCCTGAGGGCTGGCACCTCGGGCAATTAGGGTGGCATTAATTAGTCCGTGTGCCTTAGGTGAGGGCTGGGGGCAGTGAGCAGAGGAAGGTCCCGGGGTTTGGGGCAAAGTGCACAGCTCTTACACTGTCCCCTGTGCACACAGGTCTGCCAGCTGTCTTCGTGGCTGTGTGGGTTGGCGTCAGAGCAACGTTAGCCAACACTGGGTAGGTGCAGTGGCATAGTGTGTGGGTTGAGGGGTGGGCAGGGACCTTGACATGGGCTTGAAGTGCTCTGGTTCCCTCTCCTACGAATCATGGGGAGACTCCGTACACAGCGGCTCCAGCCTCAGGAGTTCTTGATCAGCCTCTAGCCAGGAACCACCTCAGAGTCACAGGAGGTGACTTCCAAAGAGGCCTGTGAGTGCCTCAGGCCTGGACACATGCACATGCTGTGTCCTTGGCAGCTCATGTCAGAGCAGCCCAGCTCTGGGGCCCATGTGGCCAGTGGCTAAGGCTTTACCCTTCCTTAGGTGCTGGGACCTGAGCTCTGGGCACAAGAAGTGGATCATCCAGGTGCCCATCCTGGCATCCGTTGTGGTGAGCAAGGGTTGGGGACAGTGTGGGCATGAGCCCTTGGCAAGAGCATCTATGATGGCTTCCCTCGACCCCCAGGCCCAGAAACCTAAAGACCTGAACACCAGATGAATCCTACTCCAGTCCTGGCAGCCACCTAGAGAAGCAGTGACAGAGTAGGGCTCGTGGCATGGCCATGGGTCCAAAAATCCTGTGCCATGCTACTAGGACAGAGTTTCCAACCAAGCCTCCCTCCCACAGCTCAACTTCATCCTCTTCATCAACATTATCCGGGTGCTTGCCACTAAGCTTCGGGAGACCAACGCAGGCCGGTGTGACACGAGACAGCAGTACCGGTGAGTGCTAGCTCTTGGGAGTTGGTGTGGATTCAGGGTCTTTGGCTGCCAGGACCATGTACCCAAGAGAAGACAAGGTCCCGCAGCTGAGCTTGTGAGAGGAGTCTCTGGCTCTGTGGCCCCCGATAACTTCCAGCTCACTCCTGACCGGCCCAGCTGTGCTGGGTCACACTCTGTCACTTGGTATCAAGCTTTGTGCTAGAGCTAGGGCACATACACACATACACACAGCCACCCTCACACAGCTAGATTCTGGGAATCAAAGGGACAGATCGGTAGAGGCTGGCTCCGCTAAGACATCGGCTCAGAAGAAACCCAAGGATGGGGTCATGGGAGAATGAGTGCATGGTAGCAGGCTCAGAGGCCCCAAGGACAAGGCAACTGCACTGTGGTCTACTTGAGCACACCTGTCGGGACCGAGAAGCCCAATAACACTTTGCCTCCCGGCAGAGGCCGTCCTGGCTGAACTTGGTTGCCGAGCCACAAGAGCCAGAGCCTCTTGCCCTTCCATCATTTCTGGAGCCTGGGCCTGATCGGGGTGGGAGAATGAAGTGCTAGGTTGTGGGGCGAAGAGCGCAGCCTGACCTGCATGCCCTGATGTCCAGGAAGCTGCTGAGGTCCACGCTGGTGCTCGTTCCTCTCTTCGGCGTCCACTACACCGTCTTCATGGCCCTGCCGTACACCGAGGTCTCAGGGACCCTGTGGCAGATCCAGATGCACTACGAGATGCTCTTCAACTCCTTCCAGGTGCGTGGCCGCCTGCGGGCCTGGGGAGCAGGGTGGGGGAGATGCGGTTCTGACTGCACGCGCCTCTCTCTACAGGGATTTTTTGTCGCCATCATATACTGTTTCTGCAATGGCGAGGTAAGAAGCCAGAGGCACAGGGCCAAGGTAGGAGAAGGCCATGGGGGTGGTAGTGGCTGGGGCTCCTCAAGTCCTGTCCCCCCCTCCCGGTTCTTCCCCACCCCCTCCCTTTCTTTGGTCCCCAAGAACCTCCCTGACCACGTTGTGATGTACAGACAAGGCTTCAAAGATAATTCAGGCTCAGAATATACTGGGATGTGTGGGCTCCTCCATGGGTGACATAGCAAAGTGTCCCTCAGCTTCAGAGAGGAGTATTTTAGAACTCAGTTTGAGGGCTCAGCCACCTTTGGGACGTTTGAGCTTTTGGATTCTGGCAGTGTCGGCTTCCGGCAGTTAAACACCATGTTCTGAGGGTTGGGTCATTTGACATGTCTTTGGAGTTTTCCAGTCTCCTATCCTTTAGTGCAAGGAGGATAACAGGAGAAACATACAGCCCAAGGGTTAAGAGCATACCTGACTGCCACCCATCTATTTTCCCCAAGGTACAAGCAGAGATCAGGAAGTCTTGGAGCCGCTGGACACTGGCATTGGACTTCAAGCGTAAAGCTCGAAGTGGGAGTAGCAGCTACAGCTATGGCCCAATGGTCTCTCACACAAGTGTGACCAATGTAGGCCCCCGTGCCGGACTCAGCCTTCCCCTTAGCCCCCGCCTACTGCCTGCCACCACCACCAACGGCCACTCCCAGCTGCCTGGCCATCCCAAGCCAGGTGCTCCAGCCGCTGAGAATGAAACCGCACCAGCTGCCATAGCGGTTCCCAAGGACGATGGATACCTTAATGGCTCCTGCTCAGGCCTGGATGAGGAGGCCTCTGGGGGGTCTACACGGCCACTGCCATTACTGCAGGAAGAATGGGAAACAGTCATGTGACTGGGCACCAGAGACTGGACTGCTGGCATGGGCAATTGGACAGATGGACCAAGAGGCCAGAATTTGGCTAATTGTTCATTCAGGACTGGACCAGAAAAAAAAAAAAAAAAAAAAAAAAAGGAAAGAAAAGAAGAAGGAGCTATGTGTGGCTTCCTGTGTTTCATTCAAGGAAGGCAGGGTCTAGGAACCACATGAGAATTTAGGGAGAACCACATGGTTGGGAGAAGGACCCTGGGTCTCATTATCTAAGAATGGTCTGGGAGTTGGGGATCCAGCACTGTCCAACAGAAGGGGACCTCAAGGCCCAGAAAAGGGCTTCCAAGGTAGCTCAGTCGGTGGAGCACTTGGCTAGCACACATGAAGCCCTAGGTTCTATCCCCAGCACCCCATAAACAAGGCTCAGATCTGTAATCCCAGTTCTCTGGAGATGGAGCCAGGAGGATGAGAACTTCAGGGACATCCTTGGCTATATAGATAGGGTTGGGAGGTAGCCTGGGGTACATGGTACATGGGGTACCATGCCTTCAAAACAAACCAAAACCAAAAATGAAAACAATCATTGCCTAGAAAGGGTCAAGTTTTCGGGAATCACAGCAGCCAGGTGAGCCTATGAGGGAACAGCCAGCCTTCCACTGTTGTCATGAATACTCCTGGAGTCAGGCCCCTCTGGAATGACTCTGCCTCCTAGCCCCCTGTCACTGCCCAGCCAAGACTCACAGCAGTTACCTCAGGTCCTTGAGCCACTCGCAAGTCTGTGGCCCTGCCACCAGGTGAACCCTTCCCACCAGGTGACCTCCAGGCATGACCACAGCTCCCAAGTGAAAGGAGGAGGCCTCCAGCCACCAGGCAGAGGCTGCAGGGAGAGTGGAAGGTGAGCTGCCTCTGCCCTGGTTCTAGAAGCTAGGAGTTCAGGCCTTAAGGGTTAGCTGGGGTGCAGGCCTGCAAAGCTAGACCTGTGCACTCACTAAGTACACAGAACATTTGCTCAGTATCCCCATCTGATACCTCCTTACCCCAATCCTCATCCTCTGGGCCTTCCTAGTCCTGTCTTGAACCATTTATGGGCCCTCAGAAGGCCTGACACTGGCTGCATGCCTATGCATGGGCTGCCTGGCTCACTGTGCCTTTCGGCTTTCCCCACCCCATCCACCTGTCCTGAGCCATCTAACTCAGGCACTGGGTGATAAGGGCATGTACTGAGGACTCCTAGGCCAAGCTCCATCTAACATTCTTGATGGCCAGCAGGACAAACGACCATCCAAAGTCTTCCCATGGAAACACTGTGAATTGCAACAGAGAGGCAGAGAGGCATAGGCCAGGCCGTCAAAGGCTACTGAGCCAGGCTGAGTTGGAGCCACTGAACATTCTACAAGGAAGAACCGGAAATCTGAGGAAAACTGCAAAGTCCCTGCTTCCATGTGGCAGCCACAGGGGGCTGCATAAGGGTCAGGAGGCAGGAGACCAGGTTGGAAGATAGGACCACCACGCTATTGCCAGGAAAGACCCTGGATGACGCAGTGACTGGGAAAGGGCCCTCAACAGGACAAAACCTAATTCCCTCCCTAGGGTATGTGTTACCTCTGTGCAGAGCCTACAGTGACCTGTTGTCTCAGCTCAGCCATTGATAGGTCTTCCAGACCACTGAGCCATCAAGGCTACTTACTCTGTCCACCAACAGCCCCAGACTGCTCTGTCAGGACCCGCTTACCTAAAAACATTCAAATAGCACCCTCAGGCCAAGCTGTATCTTCCTTCTCCCCTTTGGGTCTCCAAAATAGGCCTGTCTTTTTCCTTTAAAGGGGTCAGATGCCCCAAGATCCCATCTTGCATGGTGTACCAGGCCTCCTGCATTCCGTTGGACACCTCTTCAGCCAGGACTAGCCACCTCCTCCTGATACTTGCACCTGGGACAGGAACAGCCATGCTCTACTCTATTCTTCAGGTTGGGTATCACTTCCCTCTGGCTGGATGTCTGGGACAGACCCCTTCCCCCCCCACACACACACACCGGCCCAAGACCATCACCCAGGACCTGCTCCCCAACTCTGGACTGGGAGCCTCTGGCCCTAGGCTGGCCTCCGCTCAGAGGCTCCTAAGCCCCGCCTGGGCTGTCCAGGTGTTGGCAGAAGCAGCAGGAGCCCTCAGCAGGCCTGGCAGATGGTCAGGGCCCTGTTTGCCTTGAACGGCCACTGGAGCCAGGTGGTCACTTTTCCCTGCAAGGCCCCACAGGCCAGCCAAGCCACACGGAACACATAAACAGAATCAGGGCTGGCCAGTGAGTAGACAAGAAGGAGGGGGTCAAGAGACCCCCTATTCATTGCTTCTGGAGTCTATCCAAGGCACCTCATAGGATCCACTGGATTCTAGCTCTGGTCACTGAGGTGGCCAGGGTCAGCTCTCACCTGCCTTGAGCATGCCAAGTGGCTCTGCCTTTCCTGGGCCCATCTCCTTAGCACCAGCTAGGAGAGCACCTAAGGGTAGAGGTACCGTCCGCTCTGAGGGAAGACACTCAGCCCTGGCCTCAGGTGGGGCTGTCTACAGCTGCCAGCTCAGAATGGATGGGGCTGCAGATTCCATTGCTACCCGCCCTCAGCCGGCAAGCCCTGCTCAAGCCGGGGAGGACACCTGGCCTGAAGGCTGCAGTGGGCAGGCTTCAGTGGTCCATACTCTCCCGTCCTCACCCCAGGGAGGTGACAGAGGGGCAGACCGGGAGGAGGACGCTGCATTCTCTGGAGGTCCCAGCAGTCTGAGGGAACTCAGCCCTGCTGTGTACCTGTCAAAGGGCACAGCCCTGCCCCACAGTCCTGAGAGGTCACTGGCTCTGGGGAGCACGCTTGGGGTGTGAAGCTTCCAGTGCAGCTCCTAAGGTGCGGCTAGCTCTTCCTTTGTCCTTGATGCCTCCTTGGCCAACCACAGAATGAGCTCAGCCTGAGGCCACCACAGCAAACTGAAATAAACCTTGGCTTGGCAGGGCTGGTCCCACTGGCCAGGAGAGGCAGAGAAGAAAGGAACTTTGGAGTCCGGCAGGGGCCTGAGCTGGCTGTGTATGTGCCGAGTTACCCTGGGCAAGCTTTCTGAGCTATAGCTTCTCAGAGGTCAGGCTCTGCTCAGCTTTACTGACCTGAGCGGACTCAGAACCCCACCTCACTCTCAAAATATGTCCCCAGCCTGGGTCTCAGCTTCCTGGACAGGGTTCTTGTCTTCCAGCCTCGAGCAGGTAGTCAGCCCTCCAGGGTAAACCACCCACAACTTCTTCTCACTTCAACATCAGTTGTGCAGGCAGGGGAGGCATTTAAGGCCAGGGGACACGAGAAGGTGGGCTCTTGGGCACCTAGACCCCTTTACCCATTTCTGTGGATCCAATCACTTCCTGTAATGGCCTGATACAGGAGGCCCTTGGCTTCTACTAGTCATGGGAAGCGCTTGTTCGTCCACCTCAACTTGACCCAGGCTCTACAGCATTTGTGAGTCAAAGGACGATGTTGGTGAGGACCACACCATAGTCCTTGCCCCAAAGGCCATGCTGCTTCTACACTACGTGCCCCAGTGAGATCACCTCTATCTCCAAGACAGAGGATCCATTGTGTATGGATTTCTATGTATATGTGTAGGTGTGTGCGAACTTGTGCATTTATTTGTGTTTGTGTCTGCTTGTGGTTCTGTTGGCATCTATACCCATGCCTGTGCTTGTAGGTATGCCAGTGTATATTGATATCGTGCTTGTATATGTCTGTATGTCTTTGTGCACACATGTGTCTTTTAGTGCATCTGGGAGATTGTGTGTGTATCAGTATCTATTTTTGTTTGTATGCGTGTCTGTGTCTGTGTGATGTGTGTGTGTGTGTGTGTGTGTGTATGTGTGTGTGTGTGTGTTTGTGTGTGTACCCGTGGTCTGCAAATGCTGCCTGTGGGTGGAATTTGGCTCTTAGACATGTTTGGCTTGGCTCTCCCAGTATTTTCAACATCTTGAGCCAACATTTAAAAATCAGGATATTTCACATAAAAATTCAGCTTTCCAGCTTCTCTTAAAAATTCAGAAGCCCTGGAAGCCTTAGACCAGGATTCCCATGAGGCCACTCTCCTCCTCAGCTGCAAAGGGCCAGCCTCCTCCTTCAGCCTCCTCAGCCTTCCTTCTCTTGCCCACCATTACCTCGTGGCTGGGTTTGGGACCCAGAGTGTGTGGCCACTTCTAGATGGTAGAACTCTAAATTTCCTTATTACATCACTTTGGGGCGTGTGTGTATGAGTATATATGTGCACACAATAAACCTGCATGTGCCTCTGGGGTACTTCTGCGTCACAGGCAAATCTGAATGCATCGGTGCCCGTGTGTGCATGGGAAACATATAAGACTATGCATGTGTGTGTGCACGGAGGGTATATTCATGGCCATGTGGAGTGTGTGGGCCACTGTGGTCTGGCGTGCTCTGCTCAGGGGCCTCTTCCGGCCTTTGAGGGAGAATCGGATTCCCGACTTCTGGCTGGGCTGCCTTGTGGGATTTATTTCTGTCTCAGTGCCCACTGGAGGCCTGAGTAATGGGAACATTTAAAGAAAACCAGAAATACCTACGGAAGAGGCAGGCTGGCTAGGGAACTCAGCTCAGACACCCTGCCTGGTCCACAGCTGCGTGAGCCCAAGGCCAGGTCCGAGTCTAGGAAGAAATAGCCTGGCATCTGGCACGTCTTCCCCACTCTTCGGACTGCCTAGTTCTGCCGGTCAGAGCCATCTGGGTGCAGGCTCACTACCCAACCCGATTAACAGTGCACAGTGTGTTCAGGCAAGGGGAGGGTACGCCACCTCAGCCTGTGCATGGCAAGGTGCCCTTCCCCAGTCAGGCTCGCAGGAGACCCACATCTCCAGGTAGCCTGTGTGCACACCCACGAGTGCACGTGAGTGTGCTATGATACACACACACACACGCACACACCATACATGCAGCCCACCCCCAGCTTAGGGAGGAACAGGACTGTGGAGCCTGGCAAGGCTGAATTTGTCCTTAGAGTTAGGACACTAACTCTACTACTCAGACTGGCACCCTGGGACCTGCTCTTCCCAGGACATGGTCACACTGTTGTTCTGGATTCAGATTACCCAAATCCCACTCTAGATCATTTCTGATGACCAGCTACTTCACAAGGAACACAGGCCGGTGGGAAAGGAAGGAGTGCTCCTTGTGGCGGGTGTCAGGCTATGTTGGTGGCCGGGAGGGCAGGCAGTGCTGAAGGATGCTCTAGCCAGCCAGTCTGGAGTCTCTGCTGCCACCGTGTGGCCACGTGAGGACAGAAGGGAATTCTAGACCCCGATGACATAAAGTCTCATCCTTGCTCTTTTCTTGGCTGAGGAGCCTCTTGGGGATTCTGGGGAAAATGGCATTTAGCTTTTGTAATTTAAAATATTTTGTGTGTGTGTGTGTGTGTGTGTGTGTGTGTGTGTGTGTGTGTGAACGGTGGCTCTGGTATGCCATGAAGGTCAGAAGATATACCAGAGGAAGTCATTTCTCTTCTACTTTGTGAGTCCCAGGATTGAGATGTCAGGCTTGATGGCAACCACCTTCTGCCGCTGAGTCCTCAACTGCCCTAGTTTTTGAGACAAGGTTTTTACACTGATTTACACTTTTACACTGATAAGGTTTTCACGGCTGACTTAGAACTCATGTATAGTCCAGGCTGGCCTTGAACTCACCGCAATCTTGACTTTAGCCTCTTTGAGTGATAAGATTATAGGCATAAGCCACTAAATTAGGCTTTTGTTTTCAAATAAATTTTTAGGGGCCTAGAAATGGCTCAGTGGTCAAGAGCACTAGCTGTTCTCCTACAGTACCGGGCTTCAATTTCCAACACCCACTCTGGGACTCACAACCATCTGTAACTCCAATTTCAGGGGTTCTGATACCCTTTTCTGGCCTTGTCAGAAACCAGGCACATATGTGGTGCATAGACATACATGCAGGCAACACACCCATACATTAAAAAAACTATTTCAAGTGTGTGTGCATGCGAGTGCACGTGTGTGTGGGTGCATGTGTGTGCGTGTGTATAGGTCAGAAGACAACCTTGTGTGTGAACCCAGGTCTTCACCCCTACATGGCTTCTGGGACTCCAATTCAGGACGCCAGGCTCAAGCAGCAAGGCTCTCACCCACTGAGCCGTCTCACCAGAGCTTGCTTACCCTTTTAGATCTGTAACATACCTTTGCACTTGGATGTCTGTGAATTATGACACTCTCGCTTCATTCCTCAGATGTGCAATGTCTTCTGTAAGTCTTGCTCAACAGTCAGGCTTCCCAACCTTTCTGAAAGACGCCAGCTTCTCTGCCATCTCCCCCACATCCCTGAGCATGCGTGGCTGCTTTTTGACCATGGGTGATGTGCCTAGCTTAAATCGCCCCCATTCCCCGCCTTCTTACACCCTTGAAGCTGGTGGGGCTTGCGAAAGTGAGCGGGGGGGGAGGGGCAGGACTTGAGGTGAATGCAGATGCCACCACAAGGTAAAGCAGGGGGCTAGGGGAAGACACAAAAGGCACTTAGATATCCCGGATGGCTTCAAGTGTGCAGGCATGTGCTATTGTGCTTCTATGAACAGTCCTGGCCTGTCTCCTGGCGTACATTTGTAACAGTTCACAGGGACAGTAAGAGTCAGAGCAACGTCCTAGAGTGGTCTCACCCTCTACCACCACCGTGTGCAAGCCTTCCGGATGTCCACACCCAGCAGTGTAGCTGAGAACACCAGTGTCTGCTGGTCTCCACTGCCCTGATGTTACCCCAGCCGTCTCTGCTGCTTTTTGCCTGTCCTGTGCTTACCAGTGCTCCGCTGGTCCCTTTACTTTTTCCAGGCTGGGGTTGGGCTTTTCTCTTCTGAGAGCATCTCCCTATAGCCCAGGCTAGCCTCAACTTCCTGCCTCTGGGGTTACAGGTGTGTAATATCATTCTGGGCTAATTTTCAAGACTTCCAATCAGTTCTTACATCTACTTCTTGTTGAGTATTACCCTCTGATAATCATTAAATAATTAGTAAAATTATTTCTCTGATAATAACACACTCATTTTAGGGCTGTTTCAGCTTCCTTGGCTATGTTACCCCCTTTGCTTTTAACCATCTGGAACCCCAGTTCCAGGGGATCTGATGCCCTCTCCTGGCTTCCATGGGCACCAGGCATAGATGTGGTACAGACATACATGCAGGCAAAACACATGAAAAGACTAATGCACTCCAGTCTACCCACTGCTGGCTTACTGGCTACTCACGGGGCACTGGACTTTAGATTCTTTTAATGAGATACATTTGTGTTTGCATGCGCACGTGCTCGAGTGTGCTCACGTGTGCTGCCCTCCAGCCCCGCCCCTGCACACCCTTGCAAGCTCAGATATCAGAGCACGATGAGGAGAACCAACTCCATGATATGGCTTCTGGGAACAGAACTCGGGTCACCAGGTTTGGGGGCAAGTGCCTTTACCTGCCGAGCCATCTTACTGCCCCTCCTTCTCCCCCTTTTGAGACAGGGTCTCATGTAGTTCAGGTTGGCCGTGTTCTCACTATGTAGCTGAGGATGACACTGAACTGATCTTTGTGCATCCAAGTGCGGGAAGTATGTTACCATACCTGCTTCCAGTGTGACAGGGACTGAATCCAGGACTTTGTGCAAACACAGAAGTACACATCCCAGAATTTTTCTTTTTTTACCCTTAGATGAGGCCTTGCTGTGTTGCTCAGGCAGTCTCTGAACTCCTGACTCAGACCCCCAAGTGCTGGGATCACAAAGATGTCCCAACATGCTTGGCAAAGCACTGAAATTTTTCTCAAGACAGGGTTTTTCTGTGTAGCCCTGGCTGTCCTGGAATTCTCTCTGGTCCCAAACTCTGGCTGTCTCCGCCTCCCGAGTGCTGGGAATTCATTTTGTGATTCTTGTCTGAATGTGTATTGGCATGGCAGTTTTTGTTTTTCCCTTTCCTCATTAGGCAGTTCTCAGCCAAGTCCCCAAAGACCACAGATTGAGAGGCGCCACCTTTGCTAGCTTTCCAAACAGTAGTCTAGTCCCAGAGCTGGGCTGCAGAGGTCCTTAGTCTGGCTCCACCTCCACAAACCAGCATCCTGAGCTCCCAGACAGTGTGGGGAGTCTTTTCATCCTTCATTCCCATCTCCACTCCTGACAGCTCTGGCAAGGCTGGTCTCAGTCTTTCGAGGGAGCCAGTGTCCCAGCCTGTCTGACTACCCAATGCTTTGCCTGGTACTCAATACTCTCACTCTGAGCTCAGCAGACCTTCCGATAGTTGTCTCTTAACCTTCCCGTGCCCTACATCCCTTTCCTGTCTCCTCTCTTGCCCCCACCCCCAACCACCTTCCCTCTACTTTCTGAGACAGGGTTCTAGGGTTCTATAACCCAGGTTGGCTTCAAACTCATTATGTAGCTAAGGCTGTCTTTGAACTCCTGATCCTCCTGCCCCCTTCCTGAGTGCTGGGATTACAGGTATCTGCTGCCACACACAACTCCACAACTTTCATTTAAAAGGTTTTATTTACTGTTTGGGCATCCTAGCTTCTGTGCACACGTCCACTTTACCTCCATGACCTAAGTCCTCAGCACTGCCTGCCAAGGCTGGGCCATGGTGTGAAAGAAACACAGCACAGGTGACAACCCACTGGAGGAGTCAGGGTGGGAGGAAGCCTAAAGGAAACTGCAGGTGTAACCTCCCTGGGGTGGAAGCTCCAGATGCCTATTCCTAGAATCAGTGTTAATGCTGCGGTCTGTCACCTGGAGAATCAGCTCAGATGCTCAAAGCTCAGCCAGGACATTAGAGGCTTAGGCTCCAAGGTCACACCTCAACCACAGACCACCTCAGCCCGATCTCTAGCAGAACAGAGTCCTGTTTGGGGACAGCCCTGATGGAGAGGAAAGAGATGTGCTGCTGAGAGAGGGTGGAATCAGGGGAAGCAGTGTGGTGGCCTCAAATGGGCAGTGGTTCTATGTGGAAGTTTGCCACAGAAACCCTCCTCATAGAACGCCTTCCTCATTCTCACACTGGAAGGAGTCGAAGGAACTGTGTCGGAGTCTCTCCTGCATTCCTACTGACTACCGAAAGGCCCTGTGAGGTCTTACGAGGACACTCCCTGTCCCCGTATCTATGGTGTAAGGGTTCTGAGGTGACCACTGCTGACACTGACTAGGGATTTGGAGCCGGAAGTTCAGCTTTGGCCCCACCTATCCATCCAGCCACAACATGGCTGGCCAAACCTAGGGGTAAGCACATTGAGTATCACCTCTGCATTCTAAGAGTCCGAACCCAGGGCACCTAGCAAACAGGAAACAGCGACAGGCCTTTAATACATGGGAGTTTACTTCCAGAAGTTAAAAACAGCTCAATATACATACATATGTACAGATCTCAGGGTGGTGGGCGCCCCTGGGAAACAGCTATCCTTACCCCGTAGAGTTGAGACACGACTGTGCTGGCTCAGTTCTCAAGACCCAGAAGTGCTGGCTGGCCTAATCCCACCCTTGCCTAAGAGCATCTTCCCAGAGGATGTATGCTGGACAGATGGGACATGGAGAACACCTCAGTCAGAGTCACAGGCCTCTTGTCCAGTGGTGGCGTCCACTGCAGAGGCCAGGTTGTCTTCCTGGCCTTTTAGTCGTTCACCTGGATGGAGAGCAAACAAATGGTAAAGGACTGTGCTTAAGCCACCGCCATGAGGGCAGGACCCACTAGCCAGACCGAGCTTACGGATCAGCTCTGCGATGGCTCTCTGCGTCCGCTTTTCTAGCTTTTCCAGCTTCTTGGCTACATCTCTCTTGAGATCCCTGGAACAAGAAGTCAGGGGATTAAACTAAGGGCTTTTGTGGTGTGGCCCTGGCATCTTCCTGCAGTGCTTTGGCATTTATGTCCTCAGCTGCCTGAGGAGCTGCTCTGGGGTGACCAAGATGCTGCCTTCTCTGTTCTTCTGGACCCCCAAGACCCGTCATCCTCCACGGTTCCACTGAGCTAACTAAATGTGCACTACAGACCCAGCCAAGGTAGAAGACTGAGACACAACGGTGGATGGCTCCATGGGATCCTCCCATTATGTGCCCTAAGTCAGCATCCGGGAGCAACTTGTCTTGGCCAACTGTCAGTCCTACTCGGCCTCCAGCCACAGCCTCCTCCTGCCACTGCGCCCCTCCCACTCCTGGGGCTTCCGGCCATGCACATAAATTTAGCCCCTCTGATCTGTGGTTCCTACAACACACGCCTCATGCCTGTTTCACCAAATTAAAGCACTGAAGGTGCTGTACCCACACAGATCCTCAGGCACAAGGAAAGCAGCTCTGACTCTGGCCCAAGGCACAGAGAAGCCTACAGCCCTTCCCTCGCCCACTTTCGAAGCTCAGTTGGAGGACCTTGGAGGCTTCCGGGCTTGAAGACAGGGGGTAGCCTACTTTACAGTCAGAACGGGGACATAAAGCCTTGTCTGCTCATCCATCGTTCTCTTCACTGTGGTATCCTGAGACAAAGGGGTGTGCTGCTCAGATGGGGCCTCTGGAGCAGGTGAGTTTTCTCCCTACAGAAGAGGCTTCACGGGATAACTGCTTTTTCATCCCTCAGGCCCCTCTGCCATCATTCATATCCCACTTGGCCCTATTCCTGACCGTCTTACACAGAGCTATGCCTGCACTGCTTGTCCCCTACCTGCAGATCCTTGGCTGTCCTCCCAGCCTATGATCTGCACCAAGCGCTATCACCCCCAACTCCCCACCCCAAACAGCCTGCACCAGCCTGCATGGATAACACTTACCAATCAGGTTTCCGGGGTGCCAGGTTGGCCAGATCCTAGGGAGAGAGGAGACAATTCCTTAGGGCCAAGGCCCAGCCTCCGGGGGGGGAGGTGGCGAGACAGGGCACTGAGGTAGAACAATGCAGACAGGCAAGGAAGGAAGCAGGGTGGGAATAGAGACTCTAGAGAAGGAAGCAACACAACCAGGGAGTGGGCCACCCAGGCACTTACCACTTCCTCAATGACAGGCTCCGGCTTGGCAGCCTCCAGCTGCTCCTTCACCTTCTCTTCCACTAGAGGGCACAAGAACAACACAGCCCTGTGAACAGGCCCTGCTACTCCACAGTGATCGGCTTAAGGAGCCCAGGGAAAAGGAGAAATCCCAAGCTTCTTGCTCCTCCCTCTCTCCTGGGCCCCAACTCAGCTGGAAGAGCTTGGTTTCTCAGGCTGAAGGCAGACCCCAGGGCCTGGAAAGGGACAGCAGCAGGCTACAGCTGGAGTGGACAAAGCCCACACCTCACGCTGTGACGTGGGAAGTGCCTGTGTACATGAAGTGTGGTATTAAAAGTAAAGGCCCCAAGGATTTCCTTTGGGTCCTGCTGGAGTCTGAGTGTCTTATCTTCCCTTCCCTTCCACCTCCTGCCCCATAAGCCAGTAGGCCTCTGGGTGGCCCCTTCTGGGGACAGATTTTGAAACACTAACAACTGTGGGCTCTAGGCAGCCTTCAGCCCTGCCACCAGGGATGTGTCCTTCTGCCTTTCCTTTCTCTCCTCAGACAGAAGTCCTGGGTGGCCTCCTGGTAGAGGCAAGGGGTCGGCTTCTCATTCCTCTCCTATCCTGTGGGTGGCCTCACCTGACTCTGCTATTGCTCCACTACACTGAAAGCGGATTAGCAAGAAACAACTGCACAACTTCTGGACTTTTGATGAGGTATTTATTTATTCATTCATTCTTTCTTTTCTTTTCTTTTCTTTTTTTTGTACAATGAAAAGCTGGTATCAAAAATAAAAAAATAAAAAATAAAACTAAGATTCTTGGCTAGGCATGGTGGCACATGCTTTTAATCCTAGAACTTGGGAGGCAGAGGCAGAGGCAGGTAGATCTCTGAGCTCAAGGCCAGCCTGGTCTACACAGTGAGCTCCTGGGAGACCCTGTCTTAAAACCAAACAAAGTGAGATTTTTCAGAACAAAGGGTTCTCACCCTGCATCAAGACAGTGGAAAAATCTGGTCTGGGCCCCTCTGGCCTTTGTGTTGCTGCTGGCTGTTCTCTTGAGTGTCTATGGTCAGCCCCTCTCTGGGGTCTTTTTTTCTGCCCCTCCCCAGGGACACATGACTCACCACCTTGCCCTGCTGTATAAGGACCCCAGGTCACTTCTACTCCTCATGCCGAGAGGGCCTGTGGGTCCCCCCAGGACAGCAGGTGCCTAGGGCCTCCCTCCTGCCCCAGAGGCCCATCTCTGGCTTGGTATGGCAGCACTTCTCTGAGGATGACTGGAAGGGCCATGGGGGGAAAGGGTGCTCATGTACCTGCAACTGGTTTGGCCTGGGGGACCCTCCTCTTCTTGAGGTCTTCATCCTCTGGAACATAGTTCCGAAGCCTGAGTCCCCTGGAAGAGCAGAACATAGGCACCTTTAAGTCTGGGAGTGGGTGGGATGGGTGGCTCCTTGTCTGCCTACCACAACTTGCAAGTTTCAAGTTTCTTCCTATTTGTCTGCAGACGGCCAGGGGAAGGGAAGCAGAAAGCTTAAGCCTCTCTCTAATGTTCCTCAGAGACTGGGTCAGGGTGACTGGGAACATTTACGAGCATATACTGGGTTACCTCCATTTGACAGTTATGGGAACCGAGGCCGTTTTCATGACGTCACATAGCAGCGACTGTACATCTGAGGGCAGGGCTAAGCTATAGCCCCTGCTGAACCACTCAAGAGAAAGCCCTTCACACTAGCTCTCCAGGCCCAGCCAACCTGCACTCCTCAGAGCTTTCATGTCTTAGACCAATGTGTCACATAGTCCATCACTTTCAGTGAAAGGGTCTGTGTGTACTGGGCCAAGGGTGTGTGGCTGACATGAAGATGGGCTAGAGTGTATGTGTGTGTGCAAAGGCAGGAGGTGGCTTCTGGGCCTGAGGCTGTAGTGGATGGAGACACGAGAGGCTGATCTGGTGCATATCTGATGGGAGTGGCCCACAAAGGCTATGGGGGACAGGCACAGCCATATGCCATGGTCCACTTCTGGACAGTATTTGGGACCTACAAAGCTCAAACCCTGAAAGGTCTTTTATCTCAGTCTGCAGGCAGCCTCCTAGCCTGCAGCTCATCAAATCCCAAGCACATACAGAGGACTGTCCCTGGGAAGAGGGGACCCTGGCAGCCTCACAGGGCAGCAGGATGAGAGCTCCTGGGGGGCCGCTGGGCTTAGTGAAGGGAGACATGGACAGACCCCTAGGCCAAAGGGACACAGAGGAACCCCCCCCCCCCCCCGTTTCTCCCTACTCTACTTTGGGTCCTTGGACTCTGGTTCTGGTCCCTTAAGTCCTAGGTTTTCAGGACTGTGAGAGCTCTGCTTAAGCTAGGTAAGCATGCTGGTGGCCTCCCTGGTCCCCGGGAGGGCACGCCATTCCACAGGTGAGATGCATGATGCCTGTGGCCTCACAACTAGCGGCCGTGCTGTGAACTTGGAGCTCCACCTGTGCTCTCCTCCCTGCTCATATACCAACATACCACCTCCTCCCTCCTCTAAGGCTCCTGGGACTAAGCCTGGGGAGTGCCAGTACCCACACGGCCCATCTCACACTTTCAGGCCTACCCAGCCCCTGTTCCCTATGCCTGCTCAGGGCTAGGGTAAGCGACAGGTCATTGGGGCACAAAGTGAGAAACTACAGCCTACCTGCTGCCATGGCTTTTGTTCACCACAGGCTGGGGAGAAAAGAGGAATAGAAACTGGGTGTGGGAAGAAAATGGCAGGGATTAGAGGGGGAAAAAAAAGAACCACACCAAACCCCACAACCAGATCCAGGTTCCAGGGTTAATCAGAAGAGGGGGGTCTGCAGCCACAAGGCTCACCCGCTGCCCCATGTCTTCGGGAGGCCACGGCATGAAGGGAGAGCCAGAAAGGTAGGAGGAAGCCAGGGCAGTCAGACAGCAACACCCCTGCGACACTATCCAGCACTTCTCATGGAGTAAGCCCTGGTCCAGCAATCAGGGACACGGAGGCCCTCGCTGGGGGAGGTCCCAGTGTGGGCCTCGGTCTCCACATCAATGAATATGGAGGCTGTGCTATGTGCCCAGCTCGGTATCAAGCTAGGTTCAAGCTCTCACCTGACTCACTGAGGTCAAAGGAAGAGACCCTGAACCCCCAATAAAGCCTGAACTGCGGTCCTTGGGCAACTGCCAAAAGGCAGGAGTCTCTGGGAAAGAAGCACTGGGTTATGCTTGGGACTTTTCTATGCTGGTCCAAAGATTTAATTCCCTTTCCACAAACAACTTAACAAACCCAAGCACAGACACAGTTTAAACATCCACTGATTGGCCCTGGAGAAGTGCCAAGACCACAAGGACTGCAGGGGCTGCACGAAGAGATAAGAAGTAAGGAATGAGGGCCTGCCAGCGGTGTCTTCTTGAACATTTGTCTCTTGCTACACAGTGTCTGAAAAGCTGAGCTTTCTGCAAGCTCACAGACTGGAGAGAGAAAAATGTCATGGAGCCAAGGAGGAGCAGGACTAGGCTCCAGGCTTCCCACCGTGAGCCCATCCTAAGAACAGGGTGAACTTGCAAGCTGTCACTCTGCCACCAGGTGAAATGGGTCCCCCCTCAGTGGGGGTGTAGTGTAACCGGACACTCCAGTCTAAGAGGGAGGGAACCCCAATGTCAGATGTTGGTGAGAGAGACGTAAGTTCTCTCCGGAGAAAAAGAAATAACCCAGAACTTCAGGTGAGCCCCAGAATTTCCGTGCACAACGTCATGGTTCTTTGAAAACCAAGAACACACTAGAATTATCAGATATAAACTTTAAATTTAGGTGTGGTGGTATGAGCTAATATTGAGAAGCCGAGGCAGGAGGATCAGAAGTTCAAGGTGGGCTACATACGTACTCATAGAGTTTGAAGCCAGGCTAGGATACGTGAAATGCTGGCCCAAACAAGAAAAACCATGAACCTCAAAGAAAGGTAAGATGTAGGCAAACCATTTCCAAATCACAAAACAAACCAAAGATACCCAATCTTCAATGAAGAAACTGAAATTAACAGCTAATGTCTCCACTGACAGCATGGAAAACTAAGGCGACGAAGTGTGGGCATGAAGGGGCAGGACTGTGATCGCACCACTTAGAAGGCTGAGGTAGGTAGACTGAGTTCTAGACAGTCCCAGCTATCTTTTTTCTTTTCTTTCTCTCGATCTCTCTTTTTAAAGATTTATTTATTATATACACAGTATTCTGTCCGCATGGATACCTGCATGCCAGAAGAGGGCACCAGATCTCGTTACAGATGGCTGTAAGCCACCATGTGGTTGCTGGGAATTGAACTCAGGACCTTTGGAAGAGTAGCCAGTGCTCTTAACCTCTGAGCCAATCTCTCTAGGCACCCAGTTTTTTGTTTGTTTGGTTTGGTTTGGTTTTGGTTTTTTGTTTTTGCGACAGAGTTTCTCTGTATAGAAACCCTTGGCTGTCCTGGACTTGCTTTGTAGACAAGGCTGGCTCGAACTCACAGAGATCCACTTGCCCCTGCCTCCCAAGTTCACCACAGGCTGGGATTAACCGGCCTTTTTTTTTTTTTTTTAATTTTGAAATAATTTATTTTTATTTTATGTGCATTAGTGTTTTGCCTCCACGTGTGTCTGAGTAATGGTGTCAGATCCCTTGGAACTGGAGTTACAGACAGTTGTGAGCTACCATGTGGGTGCTGGGATTGAACCCAGGTCTATTGGAAGAGCAGTCAGTGCTCTTAACCACTGAGCCAGTCTCTCTACCACTACTTTTTACTCACTGTTCTTAGGACATTTGTTAAGAATGTATGATGTCTTCCCTATGAAAGACATTAAAAGAAAGGGTGAAAAGAGAGCTTACTAACAAGGTAACAGAAAAAGGAAATGGCATGGTTAATTACAAAAAAAGTCTAAAAAGACTGTGATTGGAGTGAAAGAAAAAGGGACAAGAGGCAAACTTCAGGCTCTCAGGAGCAGGCCCAGGGTGCTTCCTGGGCCTCTCCTTCACGGCTGAGCAGCCTTCCTTTTGCACTGGGTGCAGTGGGGCTAACAGTGCCAGCCCAGCCAGTAAGGCAAGGAAACACCTACACCTTCTTAGCGGGCCCGGAAACGCTGGTGCTGCCTGTACGCACAGCAGCCAGTTATTCTTCTGGGGTCATGGGAGTCAAATGCTGGTTCTACTCCCCACCCCTTAGAATAAGGTAGCTGCTGGGGAAGGAGAGTCTAGCGTCCTGGACTTCTAACAGTATGGCCTGGGCCCAAAGCTTGGTTTTGATGTTTCTGAGATATGGACAGGATTATGCTACTTATTAGTGTCCACCTGGAAGCCAGGACCATCCATCCCTCCTGAGGCTTGGGGGTGCAAAGGCTGAAGTCATCAGAACTGACTACAGCAGAGCCCTCAAGAACAGATGTCTCATGTCCACATTTCTGTTCCAGAAGCTCACTGGCCCTGAGACCTCCACCTGTCAGGATGGATACAAAGGAGACCCACAGCACGAGGGACAAAGCTTTGTATGCAGCTGGCAACAAGCCACCCAGCATGCACAGGCAGGGCCTGCCAAGACCCCTCAGTACCCCTCGCAGCCAGTTAATGGAGCAGACAGAAATTGGTCTTTGTGTTGCCCATAGGGAAGCAGGGTCACCAGGACACTTTCCTAGTAGCTGAGGCTCAGGCAAAAGGCCTCTTTCCTTTTTACCTGTGTGCTGGTCCAGTTTGCCTGGTCTCCACCTGCTTGCTATCAGTTACTACTGAACTCTGGAAACTGGGCCAGCCAGGAGCTGGGCTTATCTTATTGGCTGCTGCAGCCCTTTCTACTCCGAACTGGGTGCGGGGCCAACAAGAACTGTAGCTTACAGGGAAAGAAGATGGGATCCAGCTCCACAGACCCTTTCTAGTCCCATACCATGCCAGGGCAAGGGTTTGCAGGAAGTGTGGGATGATCCCCAAATTCCAGCTTTCAAGCACCAAAAGTCAAAGGTGTGGGAGAGACAGGCCAGAGGAGAGCCAGCCTCTGCTTGAAGGTGACAGAGCACGCGGCCAGTGCAGAGGAGCTAGCTAGTGAAGTAGGCGGGCTTTGAGGGTGAGCAGTCCTGGGCTGTAAACATTCAGGAGGCTGGAGCTGCTAGTTTGTGTACACCTGCCTACATTCATATCCACATCTGACCAGAGGAAACCTTTGCTACCCCTCTCAGCCTCACCTGGAGGAGGCTTTGCGGTTGCTATGGCTGTGAGGCCAAGCCCATGTCAACAATACACATTCCCTCAGAGCTCCCTCAGCTCTCCACACTGTACCAACAGAAGGGCCCCAGCAGCACCCAAGCCCCCGGAGCCATCGAGAATCAGAGAACAGGCCTGAAGTGTATGGAAAGGGGACCAGTGAGCCCCAAAACTTCTAGGACA